AAGCAAAGGAAATATAATGGATAAGTGGATTGTTGTTCAGTTCGGAGCGTTGATGCTGAGGTTCCATGCCTGGCAGGACTAAAGCTGTCCGCCTGATACTGGCTACTCATGAGGTCTTTTAGTACAATGTGGTCCTCTGGCAAAACTTGACTACAGTCTTCTAACTATACAATGAAATTTTTCTTTCTCCATCTTTCTGGGCTGCTGAAAATCTCTTATCAACCTTCATTGACCTTCATTGATTGACCTTCTTGATCTCTGATAATAATTGTTGCTAAGGACTAGTTTGAATCTTGTTCATCCTGTTCATCTTGTTTATCGATTTACATATTAGACAACTATATATTAGATTTATTAGAGAAAAAAAATCTTAATTTCGGTCTCAGTGGTGCAGCAGTAGTTAGTCGAAAAACTATTTAAAAATTTGTATTAGTTTCTTAGAGCTAAAAGTTTCTTATCTTTATCTTCTTGATATCCTTAGACTTGCTTAATCAATATGCATATCAATAAATATCAATAAGACTTCAATTTATTCCTACCTAGATCACAGTACTCTCTGTAAAGTTTATTAAGACAATTATATTAATTGATGAATTTAAAAAGCATTTTCTATCCAATCCAGATTCTACTGGCTAAATTTGTTTGGTTTGGTTGTTCGGATCAATAAGAATCAGGACAATTAAACAAGGTCTGATTTATATATACTTATATAATGATTTATTTGATTATGCTAGTTAAGGTTGTTTTAAGTTCTATGGCCTATCATTAAATTTGAATAACCAGAGGTAATGGATACGAAAACAATTTATAGGACCAAAGAGACTTTTCAGCTTTTTCATTCGCATGTTTGCGTTTTCATTTATTCCATTACACAAGCGCATAGCTTTTGTCTTGCTTGTTCTTCAGAATAAATAAATAAGAGGTAAAACCATACAGCATTCCTACATGGAAGGTAATTCAGAGGAATGTCCTCTAGTTGTGCTTGTGCTGAATTTATTTCTCCCATAACCATATGATCTCCATTCGCACATTCGCCTTCTTCGTTTTCACCAAAGTCCATCTTTAGTAAGATCAGTTTACATTTATGCCCATTTGGAGGATCTATTCGCCATCTGAAAACGCGGAATTATCCACTCAGTGTTGTTCATTCTTCAGTTAGTTATGCCAGACTATTTCAAAAAATGGAAATAATTTTCTTATAATCATTATCTCCTCATTCACCAGTTCATTTTCCCTTAATGTCATAGTGAATCTCTGTTTACCTCATTTTCTGATTTTTTTCATATCCAGGATATCCTATATTCGTAATTGCACCTTGTAATTCACTGATAGATCCAAAATCAAAGAACTTCAATGAATATTGATCTACAAATATTTTTTGAGTAATGGGTTAAATTTTTGTAGAAATAAGATTGAGAAAAGAATGCTCAACATTACCATTTTATATGCAAAAACTCATGCAAAAACATTCAAATATAGAATCAATCGCTTATTTGACTTAGAACTAGTTTCTTAGAATCAATCGTTTATTTGAATTTTAAGTAGAAAACCACTCACTGGTGCATTTAACGCCATAATAATATGCATCATAGCCAACAGTTGCTACTGTGCCATCTGTTTTGAAATAGATGCTTAATGTATTCTTTGAACTAAAGAAAGTCGGTGGTAGCTTGGAATCACAGTACTTGCCAGAGCTATTGTCGTATGAATCAATGATCTGCATTGAAAAATATTAAGCAAAGGAATGAAAAATACGATAGCAAGAATGCTATTTCATATAATTCTTTCAGAGGATTTCGGTTCATTTATCCTTAGATAGAAAATATTTCGCTTTAATATTCACCCAACTCATATGCAATATCCATCAAAAACAAAACTAGGTTTTCTTATTACACTATTTAAAAAGAAAACGAAATTTATTAAGAACAAGAAAGGGTTATTTTATGATAACTAGTAGCAAGCAGTGAACAATAACAATAAATAATGCTGAGAGAATAAATCTAACAGACCTCAATATAATCATAATCACAGGATTCTACACCATGCAATTTTCCACGCTGAGTTAACACGTTACGGAATGACCCAGAATTTCTTACTCTCGAATTTCTAAAAGCCAATTTATGCCAAAATACATTTCTTTTGAATATCAATTCACAATATTTATGAAACATACAGATGTTGAAAGGCAGATAAATTTCTGACTCTGTACGATCTTGCTTTTTCTAGTTGAAACTCTCGGAAAACAAGAAGTATTTGGTATCCATTTCTAATAGTTAAAACTGTTGTGCATGAAGAATTGTGATCATACGAACTGGGGTAGTTTGGACTCATTATTCGACCAGTCATTCGTTCATTCAAATCGATAGTCCTATTACAAGCTGAAAATTGAAATAACCTTTGAAACTTAACAAATTATTAGGTTGGACTGGTTAAAATATTCATTGTAAAAAGAAAAAATACAACAGTTATCACACAAAAATATTCGAAAACTATTCACAGACAACTTGGTTTATCAAATCGAAATTTTTTTCAAAAACTTAAGCCTTAATTCGTACAAGTCATCATTGTAAAAATCATCATTGTAAAAATTGTAACTGTAATTGTATCATTGTAAATGAATGACTTACAATCTAATAATTTGTATCTTATTTCAAATTTCGATGTATGTTCACTTTGAAGGATCGCTGAAGTAGATATCTAAAAGTACGTTACTTCCAGAATTATTACTTGAGTACACTGCTGGTAGTTTTTTGAATAGCTATTAATTACGTATTTACTTGTGAAATTTCTCAATATCAAATGGAAGTCACTGTTGTTTGGTACTCTAATATAAAAGACAAAACTGGAAAATGGCTTATTTTTTATTCAAGATGAAAATTCCTTTTCGAAACAGTTACAATCATTTTTGGTCAACAAGCTCTCATAAATAGTTTCTGCAGATAATTTCCCAAGAATATCTAGTTGAAAACATAATCCAGACAGTGTGAAATAATTTTCAGACCGAATTTACAACGTCTATCGTCGATGAAAAATTGGTTCTAATCACGATTACCTGCACAACACTTGTACTCGATATGAAAGGAGGTGGCAACGAGCTACCACAGAGTCTGATAATTTTAATGCTCCCAGCAGAATCGGCACACGCTGGATGCTGGCAGTCGGCGCGCATGCCTGCATCACGGATCTCGAGAAACTCGTCGGTGCAATCAGATGAACTTGATGGGAACAAAAATTTACTAAAAATTATTTGATCCGATTTTTTCAGCATAAAAAGGACTTTAAAAGAAAAAATTTCTGCAAAAAAAAGCATTTCATTTGATCTCTGAACCCACAGGTCAATTTTTAAAAAAAAACATTTGCAACTTATTGTAATAATTTTCAGTTACCTAAATTCAATTTGCAGCGGTTTTCCTTCATTTGAATAAATAATCCAACGGCACCTCTGATGTTTGGGGTTATTTCTTGTCAACGCTACAAGTTTAAAAGTATACGTAAAAACTGGCATAAAATTGTATTTTTAAAAAAACTTTTGTGATCAAGCAAATGGTATCTCCGGAACTGAACTACACTACATAAATGAGGAAAAATAAAAATTTTTGAACGGATTTTTAAAAATTTAAACCAACTTTTTTCACTTTCGTACTCAATTTCTTTAAAATCTTCATCGGCAACCTTTTTACCACCACATTTTCCTAAAAAAATTAAGTTTTAATCGTTTTATATCATTTATATTATAAGAATCCTTTTTAATTTTTTAAATAAATTGGTCAGCGAAGTCGTGCTGAAATATCACTGGATTTCAAAATTATAATACATTTATAACACTAATTTATTTTTTTAGAATAGGCAGTTCAAATTCAGATTTGAACCCTGCATTCAACAAAATGCTTTTTAATGATTCCAGAGGCAAATTGTGGAAAATTCAAAAAATCATATTCTACCTTCTGTTGCCCTATATCTTATTGCAAATCCTTTCATTGCATTATCGGAATCTGTTTCGAAATATACATAAATTACTCGATATGCGCTTCTCAACATCAGTGGAAGATTTCCAATGATATTACAGCTATTACCGAAAAGCAGTGGAGAAATTGTTTTGTAACCGTCATAAATCTGTTAGAAAAACAATGCATGGTTAATTACAAATCATAATGATAAGATGATTCTTTTTTAGGTTATCTACTAAACGTTAAATATTGATTAAGCATTGATGTTAAATATTGATGATAGAAAATTCAAGACAAAAGCAGCATTTGAAATTGTTTTTCCAGTGAATATTATATAAAAAATTTTGATAATACAATTTCTGGAAAAAAATTGATTTTACCGAAAGAAAATCAAAGCACTTTGTATATTCAGAATCTGGCAATTCTAATTGAAATGAGACTATATATAATTCGATAACTTTTCCTATGTGTGCCTTGATTGTCCAACCACATCGTAAATTATGGTAATATAATCCAGTTGCATTATCTGTTGGAGAATGCATTTCCTTCCAACCCTCTGATGCTGTTAATTCGCCCCCACATCCAGCTGTTGGACCTGCAACATTGAAGGCTACGCTATAGCTGCTCGTAATACCAGTGAACACTGCTTTAAATATTTGTTTAATATCTTTAATAATTTAACGTTAATAGTTTAAATGTTAACCAAGTGTGGCAGTAGCTATAAGCTTGAAACCGCCTTTATTTACACTTCGATCCGAAGCGAATTTCACGATTAGATATCTTCCTGATGACAAGATTTGATTGAGTGGATTTATGTTGCCGCATATTCGACCAAAACTTGAAGTATTTTTCATTTCCTTCCCGTCAAAAATTTCAACATAATCAAATAAGCAATCTGTTGACACTTCTATATCCACTTGGGCATACCTGAAAATTTTGCACATGTGCTTAACCGATGAAAAAAATGAACGGAAAATTTTCCTACTCTGGTCTACTGATGTGGCGCCTCAAACATTGCACTATTTCTGCCAAGTACCAGAAAAAAATTATATTGGATATTGAAATCGAGATGAACTTGAACTGATTTTAACAAACAGTTTTAAATAAATGAATAAATAATTATTCACAAATAAATGAATGTACTTGATGCTAATGATTCGATCTTCTGGAGCAGATATATTCCAAATGCATTCAAGACTATGATGATATGGTAATGGAAATGCTGGTGATGTTATTACGGTTGATAATCCATTTGTAATATCTTTCAAATTAATTTCGCCACCACATCCTTGAATAAAAGCAATAGAAGCTAATAAAACTATAAAAATAGTGCTTAGTAAAAAGACTACTAAGTGAAAGATAAAACCTAATATTCAACCTAAAATTAGATGTATTTTTAAAAAAAGTAAGAAAAATAACTGGAAAGCGCATAAGTGATTTTGAATCCTCTGTAGTGCTTCCGAACTCGATTTGCGTATGTGGAATAGTTTGTGAGAAATCTTACACCAATAGGACCCTTTAAAATGTTATATATTCTAAATTACTTTTTATATTTGAATGTTAGTAGTATATGTTAAATGAGGCTTAAAAATGAACCAAAAAACTGAATTAAATCTGATCAAATATTAATATATATATATATGTATATTAATGTCAAATATTAGAAAAAGAAAATAGAAGAAATCATTTTCTAATACAGAATCAAAAAATTCTATGTGATTTAGTTGCACGTTATTTTTCAAATGAATTGCATAAGAAATGCATACTTAGGTGTCTATTTTTTCAAAAATATATTTAACTATTTTGAAAAAGTTTCATTTTTATACTTTTATTGTTATTGCGGGTATTTCGCCTAAGTCGTATCGTCCGGTGCAGTACGTATCTATAATACTTCTCTCGGCAATATCACGCAGTTCAAGAAAGTCAGATTGACAAATTAACCTCGACCGGTCAACTGAAATATATTCCCGTTCTTTCACAAAAATAAGTAGTTTAAAATTCTTGATATTAAAAAAACTGAATTCAAGCTAATAGAACTTTTTATTACCAGGTAATTAAAAGTTAAAGCACCTGAAATGAAATTGTGCAGTGAACGAATATGGAAACATTAGCGATGTAGCTGTATTATAGAACATTAAAACTTACAAATTAGAGGATCCAGATCAAGATCGACAATTTTCAAAATAATTATAGGTGTTCCCTGACTATCTGGTTCGATTAAATAATTACATTCTCGATCTTCATTAGGATAATAAACTGGATAATGCGGTGACGTAATGACTCCATGATTCAGTCGAAATACAGTGCCACATTCTATAAATTTTGAAATTGCCGTAGAGGAACTTCCAGCGGCAGGAATGACCCACTAAATAATGATCAGTTATTACGCCTTACCGGCTTTCCAAGTTATATTGAAGCCCTGGCCTGCAATTTTCGAGTCCGACCTGAACTTTATTTTTATGCGACTGCTCTCTGAATGCAAATTTTCAGGAGTTTCATATCCACACAATTTTTTAAAATCTTCTTCGTGATTAAATAAAAAGTAGTACCCTCCAAGGGGTGCCATTGCTCTTGATTGATGCTCTTGACTTATCTAAAAATTCAATTATCAAATAATAGCACAAAATCGAAACATTTATTTCGATAATACCTTCAGATAATCTTTCTCACAATTTTTGGACATTTGTACATCCATTCGATTGAAATAAAGCGCTACATGATGACCAAGAGGAACAATGATATCCCATGTGCACAAAACATTGTTGGGGTAGTCTTTTGGATACTGCGGACTTACTATGGTACCGCTAAGTTGATTTGTTGAAAAGCCACATTCTGAAAACACTGTTTTTTGATTATTTATCGACTCGTTTAAAGCAATGATATTCCCATTACGAGAACAGTACATGGTGCAATTCGCCATAGAATTAAAGCAATTATAGAAAAGAATTTTAAAACAATTTAAAATCGAAATTATTCAAACTATATTCGTATCAGAATACGAAAACTAGTATATTACCATTTTCATATCCTCCAAAAATGTATTCAAGTTGGAATCCTCTTCTTTCTACAGTTTTATCGGAATGAAAATGAAGAGTCAAATGTCGTCCTCTCGATTTTATCTCTCTAAATCTATCTTGCAGAGGTTCTTCATCTGGATTATTACAATATATATGGATTAATGATGCATCTGTGCCGCCACCTACAAATTATTTGCAGCATTATGATTCATGATTTCGTAATTTTGAAAAAAATTCTGTATTTTGACAGTGTAAGAAAATTCGCTTACCTTCAAGAATTTTTAAATAATCATGTTTACATTCCACATTATATTCTAAATCAACTTCCATTATCTTTAGCTGAAAATGTTGGATGTTTTTTCAGGTAAGGGTTTTTATTTTTTAATCTTTTTTTTGTAAAAATTTCTGATTTCTGATATTTTATAGTTCTATTTTTCCAGCAATACATTTAGAAATAAATTTATTATTAAATGATCCATTCACCAAATAGTAACTATGTTACTTGGCAATACCTTTATTACTTTGCCATGAGGTGCTTTCAGACTCCATATACAATGTATATTTGGTTCATACGTGCCATTGATATTTGAGTAACCAGGACTCATAATCACTCCTCCATTTGGGCCCTTTATTGAACCACCACATGCTTAAAAAATTCACATAACGCACCAATTAAATGATTTTTAAAATTATTTCATTATTGGTAAAATTGTATGGAATGTCAAAAATTATGCACACACAGTTTTGCTTTAAGCAAATGTTATTTATTCACATATATTTTCTTGCTATTATTAATTTCAGTTTAAATTCGAATAAGGATTAAATCCGATTTAATAAAAATTTATATGATAAAAATTTATATGGTGGTGTATACGATTTAGATAAAACTGAAATATTCAAGCTGAAATATTCAAAAGCGAATTATGGAGATGACAATAAGAAATCTTTTAAAAAACCTACACATAAAGATTATAGTCATACTGAATGAGACGCTATGAAAATGTTGTTGCTGTAAAACATATATATCAAATTTTTGATGAGGCATCACTAATGAGAAATTATTCGCACCACGAAGGAAACTGGTGCAAAATTTTGATTCGAAAATCCAAGGGTCCATGATTGCTAAAAAATTTTAATCCTGTGAAATAATTAAAAAATAATAAGAAAAAACATGCTTTTTGCAAATTTAACAATATGAAATTTTCATTCGTTTTTTGATATATGATATTAATGGTCTGATATGGCTTCATTATTGTCGCAAAATGCGAAAATTATAAATTTAATCATTCAAACTTTTGATTTCGAGATGTGAAAGAAAGCAATTAATTAAATGGTGTTTGTAGAGCAAAACCTTCTGTTTCTTGTAAAATTTTTATAAATCTTTCTTTTTTATCTTTTAATGGATGAAATTCTGCCAATCGATTATTTTTAAGAGATATTATTGTGGAGTATTTTTCCTTTCTCGAATCTTCTTTTTTTTAAAGAGCTAAGTTTTTTTTCTCTTTTATTGCTAAATTCAAATTTTATATACAAGTATATTTTATTTTAAAATATACGTATATATAAAATTTATAACATTATAAAATAAATATTTCATAAAATATTTATTATATCTATCTTTGGCAGGGGTAAATTTGTCATGTCAAAAATCCTGTTGCTGGGGACCCACCTATATCTCTATCCCCAAGTGATTCTATAATAAAAGGGTTAGATATTTTTGATACGGCGTCCGCGTCTCCCAACGCGCATGACTCCTAGCCCGTGGTAAATACGATAAGAATACAATCTGGGCTTAAAGCAATCTCAAGACTAATAAATAAAATAGCCAGGATAATTGCTCGAAATCTATCAGGAGGAACAGCTCTCTGCACGCGAAGCGAGGTATTAGCCGCATCAGCATGGAAAATCAAAATGCTTATGGACGTTTCAAGGCAAGCGATCACTCTCCACATTCTTTCTAAATATCGTGTGGATATCGCCTGCTTGTCGGAAATCCGTCTCTTTCTCATTTCGGATTTCAAACAAATTAATAATCTAATCTTGGCTCGGAGTAGAGGTACTGGCTATATTACTGGTGTTTCGGATAGCTCGGTGCGAAATGGCGTAGCGATTGTCATGTCTGACAAGGCTAATTCTGCTTTGATTGAGTGGAAACCGGTAAGCGACCGTACGGCCTATGTTCGTTTTAAAGGTAAGTTCTGCAATATCTCAATCTATGCTCCGAATTTGTCGGCAAGTGAACAGGATAAAAATAAATTCTATGCGGAACTTCAACTGCTAACAATCGAAAGTCTCAATCGAAATATGACATGATTATAATCGGGGGAGAATGGAATGCGCGTGTAGATCATAACGACGCTGCGATGACCTTGATTGGCAAATATGGCATCGGAAACCGGTGCGCCAATAGGAAACACCTTTTTCGTTATGCCGACAAGCATGAACTTTTTGTTACTAATACTTGCTTTCAGAATCGTAGAATCTCGTCTTTTGGAACTTTCCGGATAAGCAACACTCCAACCAGATTGATTACATCTTAGTCAGTCGCCGTTGGAAGAGTTCCGTACTAGATAGTCATTCCTATCGAAACGGGCAATCTTCATGGATCTAACCATGTTATGGTTCGAGCCAAGATCCGCATAAATTGACAACTCGCAGAAAATATCAAGATCCTTCAACTATCGCAAATTCAGGGGCAGTGATCGTATTTCAAACCGAATTATTGAAGCATCTCAGTGGTATATCAATGACTTTTATATCAATAAGTATAAATATCAGTGACTTTTCTGGAACGGCAAATGAATACTGGTCCAAACTAAAGGAATGTATCCGAAAGTCAGCCACTTTCACGCTTAGAGCATACTAGTAGGGAGTGCGCTAGTTGGGTATCGGAAGCAACTGTCCAACTGTCTGAAAAAGCTGCCAAAGCTCGAATATCAGGTGATTCTGACTACTGGATGCTCCGCAGATTTGCAACGAAAGCGGCACGGCGGGACATAAATCTGTTGGAATGATATGGTCTCGAGGATGCAAACGGCGGCTCGATTAGACGTTAATGGGAAACCAATCCACTTTCTTCATAAAGCATTCGGGGAACGATCGTTTGAAATGGTAAGGGACAACCAGTCAAGAGTATTAAGGACCGCCTCATAAGATGAAAGAATTCTTTGAGGCCAAACTTAACCATGAAGTGTCATCTGTTGCCCCTGATATAGCCGATATGTTTGCCGAAGCATACGCTTGCAATTGCGAGCCTCCAACAGAAGAAGAAATAATTTCAGTTACCCATAAGCTTAAGGCCAATAAAACTCCAGGAGAAGATGGTCTTCGGATTGAGCTTTTCAAATGTCCATCGTCCTTCATAATACACCTTCAACAAAAGTATTCTTTAGTATGGAAAAAAGAAATATTACCAGATGATTGGAACAAAGCAATTCTGCTTCCAATACTCAAGAAAGGTGATAGGACATATTGCGACAATTATCGAGCCAGCCTGCTACTAGAGGTCTTAGCGAAAATTTTTGCTTCCCTTGTACTCAACAGACTTATGGAAGTACGGGAGAGCAGGATGTGCCCTAATAAAGCTGGATTCAGACCGGGGCGTGGTTGTCATGAACAGATATTCACGTTGAGAAGGGTGTTGGAACATCGTTTCAGACATTTACAACCCACTGCCACGTGTTTCATCGACTTTGCGGCTTCTTTTGATTCAATTAATAGAGCTTTGGAGGGTGATGGAACGCGACAATGTTTCAGAGAAGATTCATTCGACTCATAAAAGCATCTTATGAGCGTACGTCGGCGCATGTCTGAGTATATGGGGAATTAACAGACTCCTTCCAAATAAGAACTGGTGTCCGTCAAGTTTGTGTCCTTTCTCCTACAATATTCAATTATGCGATAGACTGGGTAATAGACATCGCTTGTCGGCATCAAGAGCTGTCCAAATTTGTCCAGAACATCATATCACAAATCTTGAATACGCTGATATGGTCCTTTTTGCTGACAGTTATGACGAAATGCAAGTAGTGCTAAATGACGATGTCAGAAACTGCAGCATAAATTGGGCTCAGGGTCAGTGTAACGAAAGTCTTTTCGTCTTATGAACAAGAAGCTGATAAAATGCCTATTTTCATAAATTCATTGCCGGTCGAGGAAGTGTCCGATTTTAAATATTTTGGGTCCACCCTAATATCAAATGGCTAGGCAAAAGACAATATTATAGCTCGGATCAAGGCAATTAGAAATGCGTTCTTCCAGTTGACGAAACCTTCATGAAGCCTTCGTGAAATTACCATTAAAACGAAAGACCACGTCTATACAGCCGCGATTCGTTCGATCTTGCTATATGGCTCTGACACATGGCCAATGAGAGTAGAGAATCCACTTTTGTCTATTTTACGGGTCCGCTGAGCGGATAAAATATCACATAATCGTATCTGCCTTATTTCAAATACCACTTGCATTAATAATGTCATAGAGCGTCTCCTTCGCAGGTTAGGGCACGTTCTTCGTCGTCCACCACAGGAGTTGACGTATATTTCTTTATTTGCTAAACCGTGTGATGGATGACGTTAAAAGCGAGGGGGGCCAATCAAGACTTGGACTGATACGGAACGTATAGGTGGACCAGCAATATATGGACTTGGAAAAAGGAATGGTTTTTATTACTGTCGACGATGGCATTAGACCGCGCCGCTTGATAGCGTCTTACTCTTGTAGCCGTTAGAGCCAGTATAACCAGTAATGGTGAGAACTGTTAGAAGAAGAAGAAGGATAAAATTCTGTTTTATTTTTCATTCTTTCTTTAACGGTGTAATAAAAGTTAAAGTCTTATTAGCTTTCTAATTTCTTAAAATAAAGATTTAATTATACAAGTGTGGGACTTTCGGCATACTTAATTTTTCGCATTTCAGTTCAGTTTTAACATATAATTCGGCAATAGAAAATATATTAAAAATTGGCTGCAGAAGCAATAAGAATTATAAATCACTTGGCAGGCAAAAGTTCATATCATCCTTTATGCGATGATTACTATCTGGGCGCGTTTTTTTTCGTGCAATTATAGTAGGAAATTCTTTAACTAGTGAGGGATCTTATATCATATTTCTCAAAAAAAATATAAACTGCCAAGGATCAAGCAACAACCTACTGACCTGAAATCGCAATATGGCTTTCAACTTCAGTGCATTCACCATGAATATTCCACCCAGCTTCGCCTGTAGAAAAATTCGTAAACTGAAGAAATGTGGTTCCTTGGAGAGAAGGTCGATCTATTAATATATGACAATAATCTGAAATTAATATTTAACTTGGATAATTTTGAAATAAAAAATTCTTGATAAATTTAAAAAAAAAATCCGGCTTTTTTGTATAATAATAATGGAACGAGCCTAATCAGAAATAGTGGGTGCTAACTTCATTTATTGACTAATTATCAACGTTTTTTTAAAGAGACCTCACCATTACTGGTTAAGCTCTCTCCACTGGCTTATCGCATTGGGTAATATGCCAGGGAATCCTCGGCGATAGAAATACAGGTGAGTCGCCAGCATCTCCGATTTTTGTACAGGTTTACTCCTGCAGGGAATCGAACCTCAGCATCGGCGCTCCCAATTGAGCAACAATCACTGAGTCATTCTATCCCCATATCAATATAAAGACAAATTTTAGACTTCGATTGATTCCAGTGATGTTTTTTTTCTATCGCCAAAGTAATTGGATAATGGAAACATTGTTGTCACGATCACTTCGTTTGAATTTTAATAAAGCATTAAGGTATCAAATATTATAATATAACATAATATAAGTTCAAAATGTACTAAGAAAATTTAATGGTGGTTTTTTTGTTTCTACTCATAAAGGAATAAAATAAACATCAATCAATCAAAAAAAATAAATAGTTTTGCTATGTTTTTGGCCAAAAACATTTATTAAAAAATATAAAAATATTTGAAAATAAATATTAATATTTAAATATTTAAAAATATTTCGCGAATTTCTTTGCACATAGCATTTGTCATAGAAATTGGTATAGATATATGCCGCCCACACTTCGCAATAATGTAAAAACTTTTTGAAGATGCACTAAAAAGTACTCAATGATATTTTTTGGAGCCAATTAATGATTAAATTTCGGAAGTTCTTAGCCTATTATTTTAGGCAGGAAAGACATATTAATATTAATGCGAAAGTTCCCAGAGATTTTCTACATTCGACCAATTACGAATACAAAAAAATTCATAAGCAGTAGAATAAATTCTTGTTAAAAGAAGAATAAATTTCTGAATTCCGGCTAAAGGCTTGATAGAATTTTAACCTTTTGGATTAAATCGAATCGAATATTCTAAGTTATCTGTTTCATTGATAATGATGGTTAAATTTGTGGTTATATGATACATGCATGAATTTGAATCATAATCTTGTGGCACCTGAATAAACAATTCTAATGTTTTAAGTGATTCAGAAAGTTAATAGAATGAACTATGATGAAGATGAATGCGTATATACTAATATATTTTAAATATAAACGATAATTTAACCGCATTGCAGCTAAATAATATAATAAATTTTAGGCAGCTGATATTCGATATCTTTTCAATAAATAAAAGGAACATCATTGAACTGCACAACCTTTATGTAGAATTAGAATAAAAAAATGAAATACTTTTAAATATTCGATTCTAAATGGTGCGTAAATTCTTTCAGAATTTCTATTAGAAGTGAACAGTTCTCGTTTGGCAAAATGGGTCATTCGATCATCATAAGTTAATGAAAGGACATCAGCTGATGAGATGAATCTCGTTTTATTTTCACAAAAATTGTGACGATTTAAACCATAAAAATATGGCAAATCATGCACACCATTTCTCACCACAACATCTGGGTAACAGCCGGTTTGATCAAAAGCAGTTTGATAAAAGTTCTGAAAACCGATCAATCGTTCAAAGAAAAAATTCTTAATTTCATAAAATTCCTCATTTTTTCCAGTCGACTTTAAAGACCATGACTTCAAAATGCTTACTTGATGTTTTGTGAATGAAAAGTCTAAAACGTATCGATAACCGATTCCAGCTTTAAATTTCCAATCACAGGCAATTTGTGGCATCAGATGATCTGGATACCCGGGTATAGTAATTTGCCCATTTTCGTCGGAAATTTCACCACCACATTCTACAATGCTTCTACAAAGTTAATCTCTTTATTTTTTTTTTTCTTCATTTCTCGTTTGACCAGATGTACTGACTATTAGGATTGAAGCCTTACCCTGGAACCATTTGGAAATAAAAGAAGAGATGGACCCTCAGTACCAATTTTATTTTTATGATCCCCCAGTCATGAAAATGAACTGATGAGCTTGACCTTAGGAGAACATGCTACTGGACTATTCTGCCCTTCAAGCGACGTTAACTTTTAAATAAATTGACAGCATTTCCAACAATTATTTTAAAAAATCGTAATCTCTATTCATAATACAGAGAATTTACGAAAATGTTATATGAATAAGAGGAATAATTTTGAATAACTAAAGCGAACGTATTCATGAAGTGGAATTTACAGTAATAATATAAAGAATTTTAATGCAATATATGCAATATAATTTTAAAGCAATATATGCGAATACTACTTTTTCTTCATGCATTATCAATCGTCTTTAATAAAAAATTTGACCTATTTGACTTGGTTTGAAGACAATCTCGAATCCACATTTGCGTTGTAGACAGAACATTCGGCTGCTTCGAGCTTGGTTGTTCTGACTTTGAAAGAAAACGCTCATTATATTACGACGAGTTTGAAAAAATTTTCCAATAACAGTAATACTTGCGCAAGTCGGTTTCAATATATATTCTCCTTGAAAAATTTTAAATTATAAATATTAAATTATAAAATTAAATTATAAAAGTTTTGAATCATGTAAGTCCAGTGCAAATTTAACGGCTATTTTGAAGCTAATTACTATAGTTGTAATTTGGAAAATCGCTATTTCTAATGCATTAATTAGCAATAAGCTTTTTGCAAACCCCTCACCGCTAAAGAACAACCTTCCAGATATTTTAGATGAATATTAGGTTATGATTTATACACTCGCCTAATTTCGAGTGGTCAACTCGATTTACAACTCGAATAACTCATTGTTCATATCGTGCATAATTGATTCGATTTATAGAGGCATGCTTCTATTCAGAACGCAGATTTTCCAATTGATGAATTCATATTTAATGTGTGATTAAAAATTTAATATTTGAATTTCATTTCTTTAAATATGATTACCAGTAGCATTGTGTTCTCTCATAGTGATACTATCGGCTGAACAATTTTCTTTATATGTTAGCCACAGATGTGCGAAACTAAAACATTTTGTTTATAAAAGAATTTATAAAGAGAAGCTAGTAAAAAAGATCGATTCGTTCTATCAGAATCAAATAAAATACGGGGATTTTAAATATTTTACAATAATTTTGCAGTAAATTTTAATGACATTAAAGCAATAAGTATTTTTTAGCATGAAATGAATTAGCTTAAATAATAAAAAATGTTTAGGCGTTTATTGAATAAAAATTTACGTAGAATTTATGTAATGGCCCGAAGGTGCTACTACCAACCAAGTGCACTCGACTTTGCTTGGATATGGATCTGGAAAATTGGGGCTCCGTATGAAACTTGTTTTATTTGTAGCTAAAACGACAGTTCCTCCGCACGTTGCTAAATGTAGCGAGTTAATTCCAAAAATTTTTCTATTAGAATAAATTAAAATTTAATGCTGAACAACAAATATTGCATTAAGTCACAAGCTCGCTATAAAATTATAGTTTGTGGACCAAACAATCATATTTCATTTACCGTCGATCCTGTTTATGAAAATCAATTGAGTTTTTCGATTCCCGATTTTCGATATGCTTGGAAATAACACGTTTATCACCAATAATGTCATAAAAGTAGTGGGAAAATAATTTATATTCCTACTTAATATAATAATTGATATATGAAATTATTAATATTTACTCTCTTAATTCCTATTATTCAAGAAGCTGTCAAATTTATACTCAATTTTACTCAATATTTTGTATCATCAATCTAGTTATTATATTAAAACCAATTAAAAGGCCCTTTCGTGCTGAAGGAAATGCTCTATCCTGGCTAAGGAAATTGAACAATGCAAGGTTTTGACCACGCTTACGTAGATATCAGAATCCTTATGAATGACCGTAATTGTCCATCTCCTAATCAAATATCGTGTGGGCATTGCTTGTTTGCCGTAAGTTATCCTAATTTTGGATACCGAGCAACATACTTAGTTCAGTTAAGAACCACCGGTTGCATCACAGTGATGTTCCGGATAATTCAAGGAGAAGTTGCAATTTTTATATCATGATCGATTAGCTAACGATTAGTTCCCTTTAAAAGCGAAATTTTTTTCCTGATTATCAATGTTTACACTTCCAGCAATATTATTTCCAAAAAATAATGCAACTGCAGTCGCGATGTAGGATTTGTTTTCCTAAAGAACATGACCATTTTACCACTAGTATATGCTTCTATCTGTATAGTACAGTACTCTTTCACAGATATGGTTACATGGCTTACCATACAATCAATATTCAAATCAGATTAATCATGCATTGATGGAAGAGTCCTGCACTAGATAACCACGCATATGACGAAAGTGAAATTGTAACCTGCACAACATAAGCTATTTTGTGGTTGGAACAATGATACTGGCAACAAAACACAGCAAATACAATGTCTTTCAGAATCCTTCGATTACCTCAAAGTAAAAAATCCAGGATCAGGTGGCATTTGAGGCTGGTTACAATATAGCGAAGCGCCTACAAGACTTAATCAACAGTAAAACCTCTGAAACCTCAAGTGAACACTAGTTCCAAAGTCATGCCTTCGGAAGCCAGCTGAATCCGCGCTAAGATACTTGACTCAAAAGAAGGCAAGCTGGATCTTAGCGAAATAGGTCCGATTTTCGATTTATATTCATATGATTTATTTTTAAATTTTAATATTAAAAGGAGAGTAGATTGAAATTGTGCCAAGCTATTTGCAAATCACGATTTAGACTGCAATTCTATTCGTAATATCAATTTTTTACTGTAAAAATTTTGAGGCTCACCTTTTTCTATCATTTTTTAAATGCATTTTTTATATGTTTAATAAATACAACAGCTTGGGCTTTTTGGCGACTTTTTTAAACAAAAAATAAATAAAGGCTAAACTGAAAAATAATAAAAAATAAGAAATTGTGAGAAAAAGTGACAACCAATTTCGTATGTAGAATTGAATCCTGTTGATTCAATGTAAGAATCCGTTCGATATCTGATGTACAAATAAGATCCAGAGCTAAAAATTGTGCTTGGTGGCTCTCTTCTGCAATATATTCCGAACAACGGCGAATTTTTCGATGGGCCGTCTCGAACTTCAAGATAATCATCTATACATCTGTAAAGACTGTTGATAAATAAATAAAGGTTCTTATGTTTCCATGCAGATAGTAATAATAAAAATAAAAAAAAATAAAAATGCGATTAGCTATGTATCATTGAGTTTTTATAATCTTTTTCTTTATATAAATTACTGTTTCGAAAAAAGTGCGTACGAGTTATTGCCAGAAGTATCTTGCAGGTCAAAAGTAAGAGGATCTACACTGAATTGGATTCGATGTCCGACTGGCGCGTTTATTACCCACTGACAATCCAGTGAATTCGGGGATACTTAAATCATTTTTTTTATTAATATATGTAAGCTTGCAATTTTCCATTTGGCTTCCATTATTATCTTTTGCATGGATTATATATATGAATAATTATTACATTTAGGAAAATTCGGCGAATGAAGCACCTTCGGCCAATCACCTTCATTTATAGTCAAACGATCGGAGCTGCAATCATGAATCTGTTCCATTAAACGAAGGGCGAATCCCTAAAATGGAATCATTTTCAGCATTTCTATTCATTAAACATTAATCGCTCTATAGAGGTCATACAGTTTCCACATGACACTATAAAGTTATTAAATGGCCTTATATCAATGTGGTATAATTTTCCCTTTCTCTCTTTTTATAAATCATTGCTAAATATATGCTTTGGTTTAAAAATTCGTATTTCCTTATTAGATAGGATGGCTTAGTGGGTTGTAGCTCAATTCAAAGCCCCAATACTGAGGTTCTATTTCCCGCAGGAGTAAACTTATCCAAAAATCCGGGTGATGCTGGTGACTCACTTGTATTTCTATGGCCAAGGGACTCTCTGGCATATTTGTCCAATGCGACAAGCCAGCGGAACGATTTTAGCCAGTAATGAAAACTCTTTAAAAAAAACTTTTCCTTATTGGGCCAAATTGAACCAAAAATGAAAAATGAAAAAAAAATGAAATGAAAAATGAAAATGAAAAGAAATGAAAAATTTCTTTTTCGAAAATGGGGACTAGCAACTATTAAGTTGGACACCATTTTACTCTTTGAACTTGAGATATAGATACTAAGTGAAAGAATATAGAAGGACCTTTTTGTTTACTGATGCGTCCGTGATGAAAGATATGAAAACTCTTCCACTCGTAAAAGTTTCATTCCAATCGCTTTGTTTACCACACAATCTCTTGTTTGGATCGTCAACAGCCATATAACCTTCTTGCTGAAAGTAATATAAAGGAATTTTATAATCATTTAAATTGCTCTTGGTAAGCTCTTGGTTTCAGATTTATTCCTTGCCAGCAACTTTACTAACGAATTTTTACATGAATTAAACATGAACCATACCAAAGTGATGCTGTCTTTAGCACAACTGACAGCTTCTTCGATGTCCATGTCAACAAATTTCGCCAAGATTGCACGATTGCTTTCCAAAACTATTGACCAATTACAAGTAAGATTTGCTGGATATTTATCTGGGTAGTTCGGGCTATGCACAATCTCATCCAGAATTCCCATTGAAGTGAAGATATAATCGAATGAAAGGCATGCTTAATTAATATATTAGTGAATATTGCTAATTAGTTCATTATATAAATTTCCACAAAAAAATTCGAATTTAAAACTACAACAAATTTCAGGTGAATAAAAAACGTTGATATGGATCATCTTACTCTTATGGATTCGTGTTGCTGACCAAAAATATTAACTCTGGAACAGGATGCGAATAAATATATTTTAACAAACCCAATTTATATTCGATGACGAATCCTTTCCCACTTCTATTGCGATCGGTTATGAAGTATATATAAATAATTTCACCATTTCTATACGTTTCTTCGAATCCAATATCCTTATGTTTACATAATTTGATGTAATTGCCATCGCTAAATTGTTTAATTTATTTGAACTTTATTTTTTTTAATGGACGAGCCTCGGATCATGCAGGTTCATGAATCGATAAAACGATCTAGATACCCATTATCAGAATAAAACATATGGTGAAAAGCAAATAACAAAAATAGATTCTATGCAGAAACTAAATTTCGTAAAGCTGAGGAAATGAGACGGAAACGAACTGGCGACTCCTTAAGGTATTATTGGAAAGTTGGAGGGGATGTTTCACGCACGCATAAATAATTAAGATTCCCTTCGATTTTCTTTCTTTACAGGAAGTGAATCTTTCTGTAGCTGCATACCAAAATTTTACTTTGCATTACTTTGAATTATTATTGAATTTTTTCACTAAATTAAATTACCGTTTTCATGATCCCTATATTTAACATATTTAATAAGGATATCATGCAATAAAGGAAATAAGAAATGGAAAAAAAAATTTATTTGACGCAAAATATAAATGCTGGAAATATTCTTCACATAAATACCTTATTTGCCCATCTTTGAAATCTATATCGCCAATCGAGTATGCAATATAATCATAATTGCAGTTAATATGTTCTTCCAAATCCAGTGAAATCACTTTCAACGATATGCCAGTGAACTTTGGACGAACAATACTCCATCGACATTTCAAATTATTAGCATAACCAGATTTGTCTGAAAAATTATTATTATAAATTATAATTACAATATATTTCATTTTATATAATAGATATCTGTGGGTTTAGCGTAGAAAAATCAGATCGACGAACATCTATAGCGACGCATATCTCTCCATGAAACCATGTTCGCAAAACTTTGCGCTATATCAAACAATTCATCAGATTCATTTTCAGCTGGCACTTTTAAGTACTTGGCTTGATATGTAGGTTGTAATTGCTCTCCACAAGTGAACTCTGAAATTTATCTTCTATACTGGATTTGAGCCAATATTACATAATGTTACATGATTATATGATTATTGATAAATGATTTTTTGTAAATTTTTTTTGACATCATTCTAACTTACGGGACGCATCACTTTGGCTTATATTATTCGAAGATATTTCCACCTTCGCTTGATGCACCAATAATTGCTTCCAAGTTAACGAGAATGAACTACCCGCAGGAGCACTGAATAAAACTGTCGCAATGTGGGTTTTGATTATGAAATCTGTAACGAAATCTTAAATATGCTAAAGAAAAAGTTCATAAAAATTTTCAAGAAATACCTGCAAACTTTTAAAATATTTTTTGAAATTTTAAAGTGATTCAGCTTAAAAAATTTATTTTTTTAAAATGTTCAATTTTCACACTCATCATTTAATGTCAATTCAAAAAAACTAAAGTATACAGAAAAGATAAGTCCACATAAGCAAAATTGAAGTGTTGAGTTATATATAAAATAAATAAGCATTAATTATCAAATTTTGAGTGGTTATTAAAACAATAAGTGCGGAAGATAGCTCTAAAGGGTTTGAAATTTCATTTAAAATTAAAAAACCATTCGCAAAATAACCATTATTTTTCGACAATAAATTATAATTTTCAAAAAATCAGTTTATTTATACCCTTTGGGGCATTATAGCCGGCATGACTGGCAATAATTGATCCACATAATTGACTCCGTTGATTAAGTGTGCATGAACCTTCATTAAACTAAAGTGCAATGCATGAATTAGCTGAGGAAAAATGTCGATAGTTGATGGTTTAAACTAATTATCACAAAATTTTTGAACTAAATATATCTCAATTATGGGAGAGTAACAACGAGTTATTCTCATTTCAAAGAAAGTCAAGAAAAATTTCATAAAAATTTAAAATAAAATCTGCCAAAGAACTATAACAAATGTTAAATGAAAAATCCTGCACAATTAGGCCCTTCAACGATTCTCGTTCATCGTCATCCAAATTTTTTTCTCTCTCATCAGGAATTTCGATGGATTTGATCGAAATCTTCAACCAATAATTTATATCTCCAGATAATATCCATTCCAATGGACGATAACCGATCAACTTCCAATCATATGCTGATGGTGAAGCAACTTTAGGACTGGTCACGATACCTCCGAATGCTAATAAGATTATGATTTTTTAGAAATTGATTGAAATTATGAAAAAGGCTTAACAGTGAAAAACTGTAATGAATGGTTTGAAATTTAAAATTTATTACTTGTCGCCGAATAGCGAAAAAAGCTGTAAATATGAGCAAGATCACAGAGTGCCTAATAACAATAGAATACCTCATAAGTGAAAGGTACTTTTATAATGAGAGGATTAAAAACCATAAATCTTCCTGCCCACCTTAATTAAATATAAGCTCCCAAAAGATCATTTTTGGTCATTTTATGCTTCTAGTAGGGAAATGAGTGGGGAACGATAGGCATTTATATCCTATATTTGATTTTATTTACTGTATTATTTCCTTATGATTGATTACTATTCCTTACCTTAGAAATTAATGTAATGGATAACGAATAATACTAATTCTATTTAGAACATACTTTTAGAAAATTTGAGATGAACACGTGGCTTTATTAGATTTCTTCCGAAATCATCGCTATCGTTATCGTTGTCAGCGGAATAACGAAGCTTAATCCAAAATGATTGCTCCTAAGAATTTCCTATGATTAGCATTAGACGTTTTAAATTAACATAAATTTGGTAGGAGACAGGTTGATTCAGTGCAGCACTGGCCGAATTCCAACTTTCTCGGTTTGTATATCCCTCGAATAGATTTTAAAAATGAAATCCGAGCGATATTTTATACCCACCAGAATTCCTATGCTGAAGTGTCGCAGGTGAAAGACAAGTGATCCCCCTAGCAATCAATATGCATTAAGGCAAACAGTGATTGCTAATGATAAAGAGCAATTTTCACCATTCAGCCAAAGCGATTCTGAGGGGCTTAGGAAATAATGAAGGCAGAAGCCCGAAGGATTGAAGATTGAAATGCATTGGAGAGCATCTGGCATTCTATAGTCTGGAATTGCCGATATCTTAATAAAAGCAATGATAAAAAAGAGTATTGATTTCATTAAAAAGAATTTTGCAGTATGGAAAACACCAATTCAAGTAACAATAAAGGTTCCCGTTATAACTTGGACAGTAAGGAAGATTCCAAGTAATGCTGAAGATTAGATGTCTTTTCTGTTCCAAACGAATACCAGAGATAAAATTTATTCTATTAATAATGAAAACCTGATCTTATATGATATCGGATAATTGTTTAAACGCTTGACATTTCCAATTTTTATGTCATTCATTGTTTACTAACAGCTTGATTCCAATTATCGCTGGAATGGCGAATACAAAAGTACCATTTGAGGTCGTCCTCCTTCTAATACCTTTTTGTGTTCGAAATTTTTTTGAGATGATTACAGATATGATTACGTATATTGGCTTCTTATTTAAGGTTTTTTTATTTTATTGGCTTCTGTCGGGCCACCTCATTTCCTTTTGGTGTCATCGGCTGATTATCGTGTGAATCCGGTTGATTCCTTTTCCATTTATGTGCGAATATGTCGATTCTTTTTTCATTTATGTGTGAATTTGTCCATTATTCTTCCACTTAGGCCACCGACGCACCTTACCTTACTGAGATGGTAGTCAATGTTTTATTGCTTGATTCTCAGTAATTAAGATCATGGGTTCACCGTTGTGCGACGTCAACCAAACGAAGAAAATTATAATATTTCTTTGCTTACTGTGAGAAATCAACATAAAAGTTTCACTTGCCTCGCATTTTTCGATACCTTTAGTCTTCGATTGCAATTTTTGACCGATGCATAAGCCGAAATGCAACCATGCTGTTATAGTAAGATGATAGAGAAAGCAAAGAAAAATACTAATGAAAATGAAAACACTTTTCCTCAAAAATTGCTCTGTAACTATTATTATTTTTTTTAAAGAGTCCTCACCATTACTGGCTAAGCTCGCTCCACTGGCTTGTCGCATTGAGCAATATGCCAGGGAGTCCCTTGGCGATAGAAATACAGGTGAGTCGTCAGCATCACCCGGATTTTTGCACAGGTTTACTCCTGTAATGAATGGAACCTCAGCATCGGCGCTCCAAACTGAGTTAACAATTATTGGTTAACGACAATCCACTGAGCAATTCTATCCCCTAACTATTATTATAAAGAATAGTAATAAAAAGGCGCATGAAAATCCAATATTAAGAATTTAAGAAGCAAGAAACTTGTTGTTAACAGCTGACAAGTTTTTAAAGGAAATGTTGGGAAAAAAATATATTATTAGGAATCAACAAAAATTCCGGAACAAAATTTTTAATCTTCATTATTTAGTAATATAGCAAAAATTGCTATTGAATTACACCACTAAACGATCATTTCTGATCTACTATTATTATATTTTATTTCGATTTCATTCATGAATGGAGTTCTGTTATCCGTCTATCCGTCTATTTAATAAAATTGTAAAAAGTTTATTGGTATGGTTAACCTTAAAATAAATGTTCATTTGGTCGAGTTTGCAGATATGGCTTAAAACTTCGCCGTTAATGCCATCTTTTCGAATTTCAAAATATGACTCTGAACAAAATTCGGACTTTGGAAGTTCAAGTTCCCTATAATATTTCTGTATAAAGGAAGCATACGATTCTTACTTTAAATTAATTTGAAAAACTAAGACTAGCGAGAAGTAATAAATAAAAGGAATCGCTTTTACCAATGTCTTTATAAATTCTGAAAAAAATTACCACTGCATTTAACAAAATAATATAGATTAAAATCATTACATTACTTACAAAAACATACAGAAGTTCAAGGTTTACTAAGTTACCATCTGTATTTGATATAGACCATGTGCATTCAATATTATATTGAAGAGTTGGAAAATACAAAGTTCCTTCGATAAAATGAAGGGTGCCACCACATGCTGAAAAAAATTTTCATATAACATGCTCCAGTGAATCAACAAACAAACCGCTCATTATTTCAATCGGAAAATAAGTTTTTCCACTATTTGACTCGTAGCATCTGTACCATTTAGCAGGCGTAATTTATGCCACTAGCTGTTGCCACTCATTTATATTTCACTCGATATTTTACAAACTTTTTTTACCACAAAGCACTTCTAACATCCATTTCATTTTTCACTTGATCAATTAATGCATCTTTTGATTGAAAAAGATATTGAAATACTTGCATTGAATTTCAGTGGAATAGCTAAAATGCACATAATCTAGTTGATGAGATTTTAATCCTTTTAAATGAATCAACATAGTATCGGTCGACGACCGTAGGTCTTGATTTGAACAAATATGTTCAAGAAGTTCAGATTTTGTCGCTGGGTTGCATTCTGAGTGATAACTGAAAACTCATTGTGAATTATTATGGTATCATTAAAATAATGATTTCAATGGTTGGGTGCTAAATTTTGCAGTTATTTCTTTGGTTTCTTTGGTTTACCATATATTCTTATAAAATGTTGGAAAAAATATTGGAAAAGATTGACGGTGCTTTGTCCCAGTCGACCCGTTTTCTTAATAAAAATTTTCTCGTCCTTTACCAGTGCCATCAATTATTCTTTTATAATGACGTAGTGAAAAAATTACGCTCCAAGGACTCGAGCGCCTTTTTCAATACCATCATAAACTGTAATTGTAGCATGTTCTTTAGGTCTATTTTTTGTAGTGAATTCAATTCGATCGATTCGTAAGAAGATTTTCTGAGAATCTAAAAAAAAGAAATAATCTGAAAACTTTTTTTGAGACTGTTTTCTACAAATAAATGAAAATGAAATAAGTTGAAATTCAGAAGATATAAGTAATCGAGATGCACGGAAGTTGATTAAGAAGCAAACAAATGCCAAAAACTATTTCAAGAGAAAAAATTCACATAGTTTATTCTTATGTTTATTCTTCTTCTAATATCTCTCACCATTAGGCTGGCTCCATTTACTTTAAGGGGTAAGACGTTTCCAAATCGCGCGATCAGATGCCATCGATAGTAATAGAAGCCACTTCCATACTGCTAGTCCACCTATACATTCAAAAACTTTTCTGACCGTATCAGTCTAGGCCTTGATTGGTCCATCTCACTTTTGACGCCATCCATCTCAAGGCTTAGCAAAGTAACGAAATATACGTCAACTGCTGTGGTGGACGATGAGAACGTACCAGCAAAGGCGACGCTCTTTAATAGTAATGTTAATAGAAGTATTTGAACGATGATAGATGCGATCATGTGAAATTTTTTCTATTCGACGAACCCGTAAAATAAACCTTGGACATGAATAGTCAAATGCAGATAATATCTTCTTAATATCCTTCACTTTCATTGGCTATGTCTCACGGAAATATGGCAAGATCGAATGAATAGTGGCTATATAGATGCAAACGTTCGTTCTTGTGGTGATTTCGTAACGGTTCCATAAAGGTTTCGTCAACCTGGAAAAACATAGCTGCAGCTATCCTGGTTGTAATTTCGCCTTTTATCTGGCTATTCGCTATTACGATGGATCCAAGGTATTTAAAATCGGGCATTTCGTTAACCGGTAACGAGTTTAGAGAAAGAAGCAACTTCTTGTATATAAGGCGAGAACGCTTTCATTTCATTTACATTGATCCTGAATCCGATTCTTGCTGTAATATGACTATTTTTTCTTATCAGTATACAAGTGGTTTAGTTAACCAAGTTTGAGGTGAGCAATAAAATTTTTATTAATACGTGTGGCGATCAATATTTCTACTATTGTCCTGATAAAGCCAGATCAAGATTTTTTTAAAATTTAAACAAGCGGCAGACAAGCGTCATTCTGCTGCAGGCATTTATTATTTTATTATTTTTTTACACTCTCAGCATAAAGAACTACTTTATCAGCATATTCAAGGTCTGTGGTACGATGCTCTGATTTATTTGTACATATCTTGATCGCCGACAAGCGGTGTCCATTATCCAATCTATCGCATAGTGGAATATTGTAGAAGAAAGGATGCATCCTTGACGGACACCAATTTTATTTCAAAAGAATCAGTCAATTCCTCATATACAAAGACCAAGGCCTGTGTATACTAATAAAATTCCCCGGTTTGAATCCAGCTTAACTAGGGCGTATCCTGCTGCTTCAGATTGCTATAAGTCTATTTAGCAGGAGGGAAGCGAAAATTTTCTAGGAGATGTCTAATAGGTTGACTCCGATAATTTCACGATATATCCTGTCACCATTCTTACTGGGAGCAGAATTGCTTCGATCCAGTCATCTGATATTATGCTTTTCTTCCATACCAATTGAGAGTACAACTGTTGAAGGTGCGTTATAAAGGAAGATGGACGATCGACATGATAGAATTCAATCTTGAGCAGCTCAGTCCGAAAACCATCTTTTTCCGGTGCCTTATTGGCCTTAAGCTTAAGGATAACGGAGATTATTTGTTTTTCTGTCAGTGGCTCGCAATTGCAAACGCATGGTTCGACGAATGTATCAGCTATTTCCGACAACAGATGATTAAGTTTTGCCTCAAAGAATTCCTTCCATCTTATGAAGCGATACTTAATAGTCTTAAAGGAGCCTCATCGATATCGTTCCACTGACCCCTTCTCTAGTTATAGTTGATATGTGAGGAAGGCGAAACAGTTTCCTATTATCACCTAAAGCAGCCATCTCTAGGCCATATCGATCCAATAGCGATTTCTATCGCGCCGTGCTGCTTTCGATGTAATTCTTCGAACTACTCGATTTCCTGACATTTTAGGCTCTGGTAGCGTTTTCAGATAGTTGGACAGTTGCTTCCTATGCTCAATAAGCGCATTTTCTACTAGTATGGAAGTGGCTGATTTTCGGAGACATTCATTTAGTTTGGACTAGTATTCGTTTACTGTTCTAAAAAAAGTCATCAATATTTTTACCATTGAGGTGCTT